CGCTGAGATTGTTCGTCTCCATGGCGTGCCGCAGTCCATGGTCTCTGACCGCGACCCCGTCCTCACCTTCGCTTTTTGGCGAGAGCTCATGCGCCTCACTGGGACAAAGATGCACATGACGTCAGCGTTTCACCCACAGTCGGATGGCCAAACGGAGGCTGCTAACAAGATCATTGTGATGTACCTACGGTGTCTTACCGGGGATCGTCCCAAGCAGTGGCTCCGGTGGCTTCCCTGGGCTGAGTACATATACAACACCGCCTACCAGACAGGAACCCAAGAGACTTCCTTCAAGCTTGTGTATGGCCGTGACCCTCCCACTATTCGCTCTTACGAGCCGGGCGACACTCGGGTAGCTGCAGTGGCCAGGAGCATGGCGGAGCGCGACGAGCTTATCGAGGACGTCCGCTATCGTCTACAACAGGCACAAGCGCTCTATAAGTCCTACTACGACAGACGTCATCGGGACATTCGGCATGATGTGGGCGATTGGGTCTGGCTTCGCCTTCGCCAGCGCGCCGCGTCCTCTCTCAACTTGCCAAACAGGGGCAAGCTCAAGCCGCGATTCTATGGGCCGTACCGCATTTCAGAGGTCGTCAACAACGTGGCATACCGTCTTGAGCTTCCGGCACGCTCGCGCCTCCATGACGTGTTCCACGTGGGCCTCCTCAAGAAGTTCTTCGGCACGCCTCCAACTACACCGTCGGGTTTGCCTTCGATCCACAACGGGGCGGCTGTTCCAGAACCGGAGCGCGTGACTCGTGCGCGCCTAGCACGCAGCATTCGCCAGCTACTCGTCCACTGGAAGGGTGAAGCAGCTTCGTCAGCTACATGGGAGGATCTTGACAGTTTCGTCGACCGCTACCCCGCTTTTCAGCTCGTGGACGAGCTGCTCGTCGAGGGGGGGAGAGATGTCATGTGGGGCACGTCTTACAGGCGTGGGCCACGCGGCCAGGAGCAGCCGTCGGCCGCATCAGGCGAGGCGCAGGCTGGGCAGGAGTCCTGATCCTGGTACATTAGTTCTTAGAGTAAAAGACTAGTTTGTTTCGTATAGGTTTCTAGTTTGTTAGCAGCCCATGGGGCCTTTATATATCGTATAGTCAGCACCCTTTAGGGGCAAGCAATAAAGTTATTATCTCCTACCTCTTTCTCTACTCCTACCCTCTCCTCCCGCACCATTGAGCAGCCAGGCAAAAACCCTAGAGCTCCTATCCACCGAGACTACGAACTACGTAGTCGAGGCCCCGCTGTCTTGGGCGCCGAGGCCCTTGACAACGGCAGATCAAGGTAGCTACAGCACACATAAAGTAACAACGTAACTGTAGAGGAGCCGAACCCACTGCTATACAAGTTACATAATTTTCCGAACATCTTGGTATACTTCATGTCCAGCTGTTGCCCCTATTGAGCGATGGTCTAAGCCTCCCGACAGCTTCCTAAAGATAAACATTGATGGCTCATTCCTAAAAGATAATGGTACATGACGTTGAGGCTTTTGTGTTAGGGGTGCTTCTGGAGATGTCATCGGCCTTCGTATCGGCCAAATCCAGTTCCTGATGGATGCTTTGCATACACGGACGATAGCTTGTCTGTGGATTGAGCGCGCGGCTGAAGTCAGGGTTGGCGTATCCACAGTGCTCACTTCGGCTCTTCTTTCCAATGATTTGTATATTGCTTGTAATCGTACTTCCTCCGTAAACTAATATAAAAGCATTTAGATAACATCTTAACGCTTTTATATTAGTTTACGGAGGAAATAGTTTTTTTTGGGATGCAAAATTTCTTTTTTTACCAGCTTTATCTTGTTTAAAGTGTATGTGTGTAATCGTGTCTGTAACTCAGTGGTGCATATCCTGGCTACCCATGGACCATGGTGCCCAAATGCCCATCCTTATTCCTGACATTTTATCTTTGGTGGCTAGCGACCTATAGCTGCTTCGGCTTCTGTATGTTAACAAAGTCAGGTGACAGTTTAAAAAAGAAGAGGTGCGTAGAGCGTGGCCAAATATATTATTGTTAACTCTCAAAAAAATAAATTATTGTTAAGGTGGTTGTTACGAATGACCTGTAATATTTGGTCCATTGTTAACAACGTTGGATGGGGAGGAGAATCAACGGCAAACAGCTCAGCAAACCATATATATCCTCCCGGACCTCTGATACGAAGACTCTCCCAGAAAGATCGCCGCCGCCGCTGTCGCGTCGACCTTCCGTGCCTCCTCATGGGTCTCTGCCTCGGCAAGTCGACCTCCGGCGACGATTTTCCTTCCTCGCCATGCTGGCGGGACATGCCGCCGGAGATCGCCGGCCTCGTCCTCTCCCGCCTCGCATCCCACAACGACCGCCTGAGCTTCGGCGCCGTCTGCCGCGATTGGCGCCATGCCTTGCGGCACCAGCGCTCATTGCTGCGGCCAGCCTTGCCGTGCATCAACCTCGGCAACGGCACGTACCGAAGCCTCGCCGACAACAAGAAGGTGCGCCGCTGCTTCCCCACGCCCAAGGGCTGCCGCGCGGGCGCCTGCTTCGGCAATCTGGTCTTGTACAGGCACAAGAGCTCTGGCAGATTCTTTCTCCGCGACCCATTCTTCGGCGGAGACACGGGTGCTGCCATTGAGATCTCCACCCGCTACTGCAGCAGGTCCACTGTCTTCGGCGTCGATTTCGGCACCACGAGTATGAAGCCGAGCGTCCGCATGAAGATGCTTGTG